CATGTTCACATATTCGTTTTTCATTCAATGTTGATCAAATGCAGTGTGCAAATTATTCCAAAAAGTAAGAAGTAAAAACGATAATCGTTAGCCAACAGTTCGAATACGTAACGCCATTCGACTCGCTCCTATTTCCATCAATTATCAATTCATCTATTTAACTAAATGTTTAACGAAAAATAACGTGGCTTAGTTCTCTATATAATTTTTTATTGTATTTTCCTGCTCTCGGCATATACGAATGTGCTAATTAGTGGGAAACGTTTAACGTCCCGAGTCTGTGTCAATTGGTTTTAGTTGGTTGATTGAAGGGCAACCCACTGTGTCTGATGCCCACTGTACGAGTGTGCCAAACAAACAAAACAAGGCGAACGAGCACAGTGTTTGTCGAAAGTTTTCATTCCATTGCTAACCATCTGCCAGCACGCACTGTCTGAGTACAGTGGGCTCTCGGTGGCGAGTACTCGTGTTTGATACGTAATGAAAACTTGTAGATAATGTCACAGCTTTATTATACCCTTGCAGAGGGTATTATAATTTTGGTCAAAAGTGTGCAACGCAGTGAAGGAGACATCTCCTCCATATTTTTGATCAGGATCACCTCCTGAGTTGATATAACCATGTCCGACTGTCCGTCTGTCTGTTTCTACGCGAACTAGTCTCTCAGTTTTAAAGATATCGAATTGAAACTTCGCAGTATATAAGTCGGAACGGCCGGGATGGGACGACTATATCATATAGCTGCCATATAACTGAACGATCGGAAATGCCATAACTTTGGTGTTTGTAAAGTTAGGAAGTTGGGATTTTCTATGGGTATTTATTTTAAGCCAATCAATCCGAACTACCAAATTTCATAAGGATCGGCCGACTATATCCTATAGCTGCCATATAACTTAACGATTGGAAATGCCATAACTTTGGTAAAGTTAGGAAGTTGGGGTTTTTATGAGTGTTAAGAATGCATCATATGAATAATTTTGGAGAATATAATTTACACAATATTCTGCAAGGGTATTTCAACTTCGGCTCCGTCCGAAGTAGTGTAGAAAACTTTTAAATATCGTAAGGAAACTAATCTTCAAATAATTCAAAAACTGGATTATGTATATTTTATATGTATGTACAATGAAAATAAGGGCATAATAAAAATATACTTCTATATTATCTATTTATTTTATTAGATTTATATATGATAATATCTTAAATAAAATCCTTTGACGAAATTCAACGGCAAGAATAAAAAAGTGCAGTGGATGCTTGAAAAAGTGTCTTTCGATCAATTTTCAGCTGTTTGTTATGATACATTTTTAAATATCGATGGGGTGACACTTTGGTTGGGTTTTTTTGAATGCAATTGCGGTTTTCAGTGGAGAGCAATCCGAAATTGTTTATAACTCCCCATCCATCACGGTTTTTTTTGTCCCTTATTTAGCCACATCACGTATACGCCACCGACGCAGATTGCTCTCACTGTTATCAGCGTTTTTTCTGGTTTTTTAGTTTTATTTTTCAGAGCATTTTTGCTTGCTGCCCACAAAAGGGTAAACAACTTCTGCTCTGTCAACACTCATTATTCATTATTATTTTTTCCCCCTGCTTTTGTTGTATGCACATATTGTTTTCCTTTTTTTTATTTTCGCGAGGGAAATGTGCGCTTATGCTATATTTAGTTGTATTAATTGCGGTTGACCCAATTTGTTGTTCTTGCACAGGCGACGCCTTGTGTAATTGCTTAGAGCAAATATAAAAAAATAAGAAGAGCAAAAATAAAATCAACTAAACACACGAGATGGTGAAATGCAGATGTGCACGAGAAAAAGCCAAAAAGAACACATGATGGGTTTATTTTGGTTGAACGACGACGAAATCAATTGAAATTGAAATTTTCAGGCGACCAAACGAAATCGAGTAAAACCGAAGAGAATAAAACCAAAATTGTCAGTTAGAAAGGTAGAGTCGTCGTTCGTTGTCTCAGATGATCGAGGTGTTTTTTTGTCTGTGTTTGTGGGGATTATCGGGGGCTGTAATTTGGCCTGGCAACAGCGAAAAGACTTAAATGCCAAAGCGACAAAAACAGCAAACAAAATGTACTAGCAACATGCCTGCATAAATACATAAATACTTAGCTACATGGGCATGTAGGCACATGGGGTACAAGTATATAATTCTATACCATACCATTTTACTCGAATTATTGCCTTTGAAATTAGTGACACCTAGCAAAATAACAATGTTTTGATTTTTGACTGATTAAAACCGGTAGTTTTTAAAAATGATTATAACAGATTTTGTAAAATACTTACAAATATACCAAGAAACTCTAAAGTCTTTAATACATTATTTATTATTATTTCAAGATAAAATTTTTGGATTCTGCAATAAGAATGGGATCTAAACGTTATGAGATTGTAGAAGGTTTTTAAATTTAATATGATGAAGTTATTTAGATCATGAATAATAATTAATAGCAAATAAAGTACCCCCTTATTTTTTTTGGTAATACTTTTATGGGCTACTACTTTTTTAACCGCAACTGTGTGCATATTTGTACATAGGTAGGTGTAGATATATTTATGTACATATAAATACTTGCCTTACATGCATACATTTTATATTTAGTTCTTTCTTTTGTTGTCTCTCCTACTGCAGTTTTCACCGTCTGTCTTCTTCTTTCCATTCCTTTGGTTTCTTTTCCACTTTTTTTCGGCGTGCCCAAAAAGCCGGCAAACTTCATTTTTACTTGCATACGCTCTTTTTTTCTACGTCTTATGCTCTTCGAGAAACACTCTCTCTGTGATTTTCTCTTTTTATTTTTTTGGCGTTTTCACATTCAATTTCGTTGTTGTGCGTGAGCCGTGGAATGGGGAAAAAGTTGTATAAAATTTATTTTTATTTTCAACAAATATAGGATGAGATACATAAGCGGCCGCAACGACAATGCCGTCGTTGTTCAATTTTCCGCTGCTATTGCTAAAATTAAATATGGCTAAACAGCAACACCAAACAACAACAAATATAAAACTAAAAACGACTCAAACAAAATGAATGCACTGAGGGAAGATTTTCTTGAAACAATAAAGGAGACTAAATATAAACTCGAAAAGGTTGTTTTTACAGTATTTAAAGGGCAAACAACATTTTAGATCATCTAAGAACTTTCAAAATACAAAACATCGATAAAGAACAACTATAAAAACAAAAACGTATAAATAATAAAAATAAAAAATAAATATAATTCATACGAAATGTATTCTAATTCTTATTATTTTCTGTGTCTCGAATGCAACCCAATTCGATATTCTGTTTGTATTGAAAATATTTGAGATCGCAAATTTTTTTTAGTGTGTGTGCGTTTGTGTTTTGTCTTCTTGTATTTCCTGCTCTATCGCTCTACTCTTTGGCTCTCTTCTCAACCTCCTCCCCCTCCCTTCAACCTTTTTTTTTGTCGCACGTGTCGCCATATATTTTTTTGGCAAGCGGAAAAATGTTGGCGTAATTTTAATTAATTTAATTATGCATTTAATCAAAAATCACAGCTAATTTTTGTTATTAGCCAAATAAACAAATGTTTGAAGTGATTCTTTTAAAGACTTTACAAATTATGACGTAGTTTTGCTTATTCATTGACATTTAGGTAATCGAATTCGTGGTAGTGAACCTTTTAATTCATTAAATTTGGATCTTGATTAGTTTTTGTTCTACAGCAAAGGAGGATATTTTTTATTTATTTTACTTTTCAAATTTTTAAAACAAATTGTTTCATTTTTATATATTATTTAGTTTCTATGATTCAAGTATTTGTGTGCCTATTTTGTTAATTAAATATTTATACGTTTGAAAAACCCTGTAACTTTTAGTGTTATATGAAAAAAATGTAAGTCTCAAGTATTTAACATTTTTTTTTTAATTTAATAATTGAGCTCTTTCAGCAAACACAATGACGTATTTTGTTAAGCATAACTTGCTGTTGCCTGTTTGTTTATTTTTAAATATTTAGAGGATTTGATTGTAATAAAAATACTTGTGAGTCACTTGGCTCTCTTAAGAGAGGGGGAAAGAGCGGTTTGAAGAGCCTTTTGTCAATTGGAGTTAGAAGAGCGAGAGTGGGTAAGAGTAATTCTTTAAGCCTAGCCCAAACAGCTGTTTGTTGTGCCTTATTTTTGTTTTTGTCTTTGCCTTTTGTTGTTGCCTCGATATCCTTGCCAAAAGTTGTTTATTTTAAGGACGAGAAGAGAGCGCACAAAAGGGTAGAAAAGAGAGGACGGGAAAAGCCAAAAGGGCTGCAGAAAGAGAGAGAAAGGTAGCTAGCTGGCCTCCATGGTCTACAAAATTTGAAGCATTTGTTTTTGTTGTCAAACTTTATAGTTTTATTTCGCTTTATTTTTGTATTTGTATTTGTTTCTGCTCACTTAAATAAATGGCAATGTCATGCGCGAACGCACAACACTCATACAAAGATATAGAGTGGTATACAGTGGGCACTCGAAAAGGATGAACTATATAACAAAACCGACTAAAGACAAACGTCTTAAGTGATAACATATTTCTCAATAAAGTTAAAACTAATATTTATATGTGTGTTTACGAAAGAGGCAGTCATTGATAGGAAAATATATATTTTGTTTAGCTTATGTATATCATAGAAATATTTGGGGACCATAATATATATAATCAAAAAAATTATTATCATTTTATATAAATTTAAAAAAAAATTTTTTTTATTTCGTAATTTTAAGATTTTGTACTGTACCAACTCACAAGCTTGTTTACGACGCTTTGACTTTGCTTTGGCTTTTATTTATTTTTATTTATTATTTTTTCGCTTTGCCGGCTCTCTCTCGCTCCCGCACACAATGAAAACTTTGTGTGATTTTCGCCAGCGAGAGAGTGTGTGTGTGTGGGGTGGGAGTAGTGGTGTGTGTATGCTGGGGCGTGTGTGTTAGTGGGGGTCGGTTTTTCAATTGCTGTTGCCGCCGCTTCGCTTCATTCGTTTGCCTGCTCGCGTGCTTTACGGTTCGAGATTAACGAGAAAATCTTGTAAAAAACCTTTCGAAAAATCATATACAAGTTTCAAAAACAAAATTTAAAAATAACAAAATTACATGAAAAAGCCTTAAAAATTGCTAAAACTTGTATTTTTTTGCGTGCCAATAAAACGACGATAAAGCTTCGAGAACGCCTTGTATGGAGGTATGTGAATCAACACAAAATAAAGATAAATAAAAGAAAACAAAATAATTAAAAGCGGGCCATACAAAAAATAACAAAGTGTGTGTTGGTGTTTGTGTGTGAGTAAAACAAAAATAATAATAAGTAATACAAATGGCATATGAAGAGAGAAAGAGCAAGGGAGACAGAGAGAGAAAGAGACGAAGAACCGCAGATTACAATTTGAATTTTAAATTGGGTTTTCTCAATTAAATATACACTTGGCATTTTTCAGCTTTTCCCTTTTTAAAATATTTGTTTGATTTGCGTAATGTCCATTTTTTGTATACATTCTCCGATTTCATAATCATGCCTTAAACTTAGCCACTAAATGTATAAAAATAACAACTAAAAAAAGCTAAGAAAAACCACGTTGAATTTTTGGTTTACTTTTCTCTTTCTCTTTGGTGCTCTCTTTTGGTCTCTCTTTTGCGTGTAAAGCAGTTCTAACTGCTTTTCTACAGTGAAAGCTCTTAAAAAACCACTATTTAAACTGTATAAAAATTATACATGATATAGGAAATACCTACTACTGCACTTGCTTAAAAATGATAATAAAATAATATTCATGAGTAATTTATTTTCAATCAATTTTTTTTGTTCAAAAGAGAAGTCAAAAAAAGGTGACACACTAAATAAAATCATTCTCTCATCCTCTCATCCTATGCCACTCTTTCTCTATTTTACGCTTTCTCGCACACACACGTGCAATGACATTTGTTTTTTCGTAAACGACGCGAAAAAGCTAACAATAAAACTAACAATAAATCGACAACAACAAAAGCGATCAACAGCAATTATAAACGCCAAAAGCGTTTTTCTAGCGGCCTTGTTGCGTTTTTCAGTGTATACAAAAACAAAAAAAATAGTACAAATACAACTAAAGTGTATATATAGAAAACTTAACCAAACTTGTATAGATTTGTTGGGTTTTTATTTATATTTATGCCAAGCACTCGGTTTTATTGTTCCACTTTTTTTCCCCAAAACATAGTTGATTGCCTCTTTTTCGGTAAATAGTTTAAACCAAATATAAATTGTTCTTCAATCATTTTTATATTTTGCTTATATTTAGAGAGCGAGCCAGACTCTTGATGAATTTAGATTATTTTTGGCTTTTGTTTTAAACCCAATAGGGAATTTTATATTTACTTTTGATTTTTAAAAAGCAACCCATCATTTTTTTTTTTTTTTTTATTATAATTTTCTAAACATCATAAAAAACAATTTTGGCGGGTTTTTGTTCACCCTTTTTTGTATAATTCAATTCAAAATTGCTTACTGTTTTTTCAGAGAATTATATTTTTGATTTCTTAGTTTTTATAACTCATACGCCCTGTTGGCGGTGTTTTATTATTCTTTTCCATGATTTGACCCAGGCGTATACGTAATGTGCAAGGCAAAGAGCAAAAGAGAGAGGGAAGGAGAGAGAACTGCTACACAGACACGCACACACATTAAAAAACTCACGCAAACTAGCGCAGAAACACCGACATGGCGGCCACAACGTCAAGCATTACGTATACGCCGCGTGGTTGTCGCCATCGCATTTCTTATTTTCTTATTCCTTTCTTTTTTGTTATTGCCTTCGTCTATCAAGCAAATTCTAATTCTGAAGTATATTGTGATATATGTAGATGATAAAAGTAAATTTAAAATATCCAAAATATCTGAAACAAAAAAATTGTAGGGACACACTGAGTTTTACAATAACAAAAAATTACTTAAAATAAAAGAAATGTTAAAATTCTGATTTAAAGAAAAAATAAGATCGAAAAAAACATTGAAAAAAACAAACTTCGAAATTATGTGAATTTAAAGAGTCACATCATATGACAACTTATCACATATGTTTCTTGAAAATTCTAAAACTCGAAAGTCAAATTCGCAATAATCAATAATAAACATTTTCACAGATTTAATATTTTCAAAAATTCATCTCTGTTTCACCTTTGTTCTTCTTTACTTGTATGAATTTCAGACAATTTTTGTTTATATTTCATCAAATGCGAAAGAGAGGGCGATTAAAACAAAGAAAAAGAGAGGAAGGAAAGGTTCTCTCAAAAAATGCTGCTGCTGTTTTTCTTTTACGCAATTTTTTTTCGCTTTTATTACAAACAATTTTGGTTAAGCTTTTTTCTTCCTAATGCTATCTTGTTGATGGCCGGAAGTATGCAAAAGCTTTTTCTGTTTCTCTCTCTTTGTTACGTGAAATGTTTTGAAAGCTGTTGCAATATTTTTGCCTATTGTTTATTGTATATTTTATTTTACTCAAAACACAATACAAGAATAAGTAAACACAAACAAAGCGTTGTAATTAAAGGTATTACAATTACATTTTACTCAACCATTTTTTTGAATGGGAGAAATACCGGCTCATTCTCTCATAGTCATTTATTTATTTGTAGTTTAATATTTCCATATTTTGTTCGTCTCACGCTCTTTTTACTTTTATTAAAAGAGGAAGCAACTCATTTAACATTTTTCCATAGATTTTTCCTCATTTTCCCCACTGGCATTTCAATTGGGCGACAATTTTCACAACAACAGTAAGAAAAACAAAACATGCTGGCTGTCAATTATTAGTTTGTTTGTGTGTATTATTATTGAACCAGTCGCACGCTGATTACTCCACGAGTTTTTATTTTTTTCCACCGTATCCGAGGGTATCAAGGGGTATGCGGGGCTCTGGTGGGAAGTCTAGGTAAACAATTTAATGTATGTATGTATAGGTATATATAGTGGAAAAAGTGGGGAAGAAAAATTAAGTGGAAAAAGGGTTGATGTTTACTGATGATAAGTCGGTTCTTAGGGGAAGATAAGGTAGTTGTAAATAGTAGTAAATTATGCAGACACCTGCATTTTACTTTTAAATGTATGTTTTAGGAAACTTTTTACACAGTTCAAATCTTTGATGCAAACAAACTTTATTAAATAAATCCCATATGTAATAAATATGTTATATTATTTGACTGTTTGGTGTCATGCAAGCATAATTTTGTTTGCGAAAGACTATTTATCATTTTTTCGTTCGTTCAATTTAAAGGGTAGTAAAATGTTGTGACCACCATTTTTAATGATTTAACTCCACTTGCTAGTCGGTGGTTTTATTTGCTGCTAAAGTGGCTCCCTTACGATTATTTTTTGACACGCTCATAAGCATCCGTGTGCCGCATTTGTGCACACTTTAGTATATATCATATATCTGGATGATTCATCCTCCGTCACCATCATCATCATCATGTTCTCCCCAGTAGTTTCATGGCGTTTCATTAGCGTGGCTGCTTTTCTACTTTTTCTATTCTTTTTTATTTGGCTTTTGTTTTTTAGCAAACATTTTGCTCAGGTACAGTTACCACTGGTTTTTTATTTTGTTTTCGCCTGTTAATTGGCTCGCAGAAGAAAAGACCCAAATGCAAGACTTGCACTCTCTCCTGCGCTCTTGTTCCCTTCCTTTTGGGTGGGTGGGTGTTTGGGGGTTTTGGTTGACATTTAAAGCAGCTCCATGCTGGAGAAAGGTCCGCAGGTCATAGTCAAAAAGCTAAAAAGCCAGAGAGCAATTTTGACGTTGACGTTTCTAGAACACAAAACTAATCTCGAAACGTTTGCAGTGCACGCTCTAAAGAGAGCGGTGGTTTGAGTCTCAACTTTAATGATAACAATTTAAAATTTTTAACCAACATATTTTGAATGTAGTACACCCAACAATAGGAGAAAGGTTGAAAACCAAAATTCTAGTATTGATTAGTTTTAAAAGTACAATTGGTTTCTAAATAGTGTCAATTTTAATATAAAGTGTCGAATAATAAAAATAATTTTATTAACAAAATTAAAATAAAAAATTTAACATTTTCAAAACAAAACTTATGTGGAAAATGTTACGTGTTAGGAAAGACCCACTGTAATAACAAACCGAAATAGCGGCTCAAAAACAAATGCGTGGCTCTCTCTCACTCTCTCTTTCTGCCTCTCTTTGGAGAACAAGATAAACAAATTCCGACTGAGAGCTGCTGAAGAAGAGAGCCGGAGAGAGAAAGGAAGAGAGAGCTATGTATCGGCATTTTTCGATGGAGAGTTTTTCCAGTGTTGGATTGTCAAAAATTGCTGTTGCTTCGCTCCGATTGTTGTTGTCGCCATGCGGCCATTTTTGCTAATTAATTATGTCAAAGGCAACGCACTAACCCACCCCCTCCCACCATTCCCCCTATCAGTCTTCCTCTTATCTCAAACACGTTGTTTGTTTCTCTCTGTCTGTTTTTGTAGACGCTCTCTTGCGACGCTGCAAAATAAAATATTCGTACGCGATTTGTTATTATTTTGTTGTTGCTGAGAAAATACAACAAAAAAAAACACAATAAAAAGTTGCCAAGACAACGAGTAGACTTTCGAAAAAAAGAAAACAAAAATTGCGTCGTTGTTGCTACTATAACAAACGAATTCCAGACTGTACACAAAAAAATAATGTTTATGCCAGAATGCACAATTTAATGGTTTATTTAAATGTAAAAAAAATGACAAAATGAAAAATGTTACTAAAACATAAAAACTATCAATGATCTATTTGATCCCAAATGATTGTCATATTATTAAACTTAAATAAATAAATATTTTTCTGCGTAATTATAAAGACGGTCAGTGTAATGACGTCGACATCGGCAGCTCAGTCGGCATTGGAGGTCAGCGGAGCTTTTTTATTTATTTATTGTTCTTGTTGCTCGTGCGTTTCGTTCTCCTCGCGTTTGTTGTGTTTTTCGCATTTACGGTTACGGCTTTGTTGTGGCGCGTACTTTTCTCCCTCTCTCGTTCGCTTTCCATCCCCACTCTCTTTCTCTCTGTCTCTTTTTTTGCTATACTTTTTTTGCACATGCTAAACAATGGGTAATAATAAGATAGGTTACCACAAGAAGAAGAAAAGGAATATACAGTCTGTTGTTTATTCGAGGAATTTAATTTTAAAATTTTTGTTTCCTTAAAATGCATTGAAATGCTTTTTTTTAAATCAAATTCAACTGTGCGTATGAGTGATAAATGCGCAGTACCCTTCCAAGTTTTTTATAAAATTAAATACTACAATTATTCGACGTTTTATCGAAATCTTTAAGCAATACATTTTGAGAAAATCCAAAAACTACCCTACTTAAAATGTTTTATAATTCACCTGGGGCAAATGTATTATTATTATTTCTATTAATTATTTCCTTTACATAAGTCTTTGAAATTTTTAATGTTTATAATTTCAAATGTCTCTGTTATGGCAGTCGCACTGTATTAGCTAGTAAAAGTAAGTGTGCTTCTTGGACATTTACCATTGTTGACTTTTCGTTAGTTTCCGTAGTTTTTCTTGTTGTCCCTGCCTCAAATGAAAATCAATAAATAATAATACACTTTGTTGGCTGCCCCACCCCTTTCACCGTTCGTGTCCCCTCTCCGTTTAGCCCTCTCTTTCGCTATTTCGATTCGCGGGCTCAACGACAAATATATGTTGTCCCTCGGGAAAAATGAATATTTAAGTAAATTGCCTTTGATGTAATGACATTTGATGACTTGATGACTGAATGGGTTTAATAAATGATGAAGGCATTACCCGATTACTTTGGTTATCAATCGATCATCGATCCTTGCCATCTCAAACATTTGAATCCGCGTTTTTTCGAATATTATTAATAACTAAACAAATGAATATAATTTTTTAAATATTGATTTGAAAATCGATAATTTATCTTTAAAGAAAATTAAATCAATTAGTTATTATTTTATTCGGCTATTGAGTATTCTTGATCTTCATAAAATTTTAAACTGAAATGTTGGTTATCGATTATTAATATTAAACCGATATGAATCTTACATACTGATTTTATTGATTACTTTGCATTAAATTGGGTATAGATCATTGATCTTTGGACTCTCGATTTAATTAAAGTGAAATCATTGAGAACCCAATACTCTATTGTTAGTTAAAGAAAATAGCTAAAGTGAGAAACTATAAATGAAATACACCCGCACAAAGAAACACTGATAAGATAATTCCCACAGAAATGTAGAAAGAGAGAGGGCTAAGCAGAGAGAGAAAGATTGAATATTTGAGAAAGAGAACAGGTGAAGTGCCAGCGATGTTGGCGTCATAAAAAAGCCACAAAAGCAAACACGCGTAAATTAGAAATAACAACAGAAAAAACACCACAAAAATATGTCTTCGATTGCGTAAAACTGAGGAAAAGCATTATAAAGGGGGTGCCCTGGGGAAAAAACCCCGTAAAGTATGCAATAAAAACGGCGAAGGACGTTCAACAGCAATAAAACATGAACCGCTAAATATTTATGCGGTTTACGCCTAGTCACAAAACTCACGAATTGCCAATTTGATGACCAAACAAAGTGCAGCAAATTGATCATATAGAGTCATTCGATCATTAGATCATCGTCAAGCTTGGCTAAAAATACAGACTTGGCTCGAAACTGTCAGATCACCAATTTTTTTCTAAAGAATTTCATACCTAATGATGAGACAATATTCGGAAATTTAAATAATTAATAATGTTCGAGATTAGCATTCTTTAAATTCTGGGAGCAATTGATTCCACAACAACAGGTCATGATCTCAATATCACAATCTATTCTTTTCCTGACGCAATAGTTATTACCATATCAAATATGACTGTGATGTAAGCCTATGGCTGATCAAATCAGATTAGACTATATTGACGAAGTTTTTAGATTGGTTAAGCTTAAGTTAACAAGGGTAATTTAAGTTTCTGACTCAGAATAAAAGGCTAAGTCTTTTGGCTGTAACACTTGGCTGATGATGTAACTAGTTATAATTTTTGTTCGATTAATCATAAAAATTAAATACAAAAGAATTATCAAATACAAACGCTAAATTATAAATTATATTTATAATATTATATTATATTATTAACCATCTTGGTTTTTTCTATTGCAGCATGTCCACAGATAATCCCACACAGTTGCTGACCGCCCGCGATTTGAGCCAACTGCGTGGCCATCTGCAATCCGGCGCAGCGGTGGCCTCCACGCCCACTTCTGTGGTGGCAGCGGCGACAGTGGCTGCCGCCCATGGATACCGCACCATTGCACCACCACCCGCCAACAGCAGTAGCAACAGCACCACTAGCACCACAGCAACATCATCATCTGCAGCAGCAGCAGCAGCAGCATCTCCTGTAATACCACCAGTTGTATCCACAAGCAATAGCAATATGCCGGCCAGTGCCTCAAAATATGTATTTCTGCAACATAATGGTGGTTTTACGGCGTACGATAGTTCTGCAACCACGACGGCCACGGGTAGTTCCGGACCCGTTGGAGCCACAGGTGGCAATATAGTACTCCTTGCCGCCGAGCCACTGGAAATGGGTGCCTCCGGGGAGACGTTGGTCAATGTGCGAACCACCGACGACGATGGGGAGTTGCGTTCGCTGTCCTGGTTAAACGATAGCAACCTGATCAAGGGCATTGTGACAACAACTGCAGGACAGGCGGGAAAACGTGGTGCAGCGGTGGCCATCAAGACGGCTGCTGGAGCAGGCGCTACCAATGGCAATCTGTGCATAGTCAGCGACTTGATCGAAGAGTTGCCCACTAATCTGAGTGAGTCCAGTGAACAGGAAGCGGCAATAGGAGCAGCCAGCGGGTCAGCAGCTGTATATAGCACCACCACGGTGCACAAAGGAGCCAGCGGCACCACCACGGTGGTGGAGTACAAAGCTAGTAAAGCCAATCAACAGCAGCAACAGCAGCAACAGCAACAGCAACAGCAGCAGCAGGCGGCCTATTTGCCTACGTCAACGAGAACCACGATGGTGGGTCATGGTTACATGCCAGTGGTGGTGAGCAGTGCAGCCAACCAACCCTTACTATCGCCCGCCAAACAGCAGCAGCAACATCAAATCTATGTGACCAGCAATGGGAGCACAGGAAGTGCAGGAGGAACCGGTGGTGGGGCAGCCATTTACAAGGCAGCCAACCAGGCGCTGTGCTCGCCAACCACCAGCAGCAGCAGCAACACCACCTCCCACCATCCGCACAAAAAATATTTGCGCGAGAAGATGCACGTCCAGATGGATCATAGCAGTCATGTGGGCTCAACGGTGACGGTGGTTAGTTCGCCGGCCTCCTCTAACAATTCCTCGATAAGCAGCTCCAGTTCGGCCTGCAATTCGGGTTCCGTATCCGGTTCAGGATCCTCGACAGCGGCTGTAAATGGGGGCAACAGCCCAGTACCCAAGGCCAGCAGTTTTAGCACTGTCTTCGAGGCAGTAAACTATGCCACATCGGCGGCTAGCAGCAGCAGCACGCCCAGCAGCCAAGTGATACTCCATGGTCAGGAGCCACCGGCAATGGTGACAACCACGACTTTGATCAGCGCCGGATCCCTGCCGCCGGGCTATAGCTTTGTTAACCACGTAGCCAGCACGCCGCATATCATGTGAGTGGTTTGGCGTAAAATCTTTTAGGGATCCAAAAAAACTAACCCAATCTTCCGCTTTCTCTTTCAGTTCTACGCCAGCCCATGTTGCCTCACCTGAGACGCCGCCTGGAGCAGCCCTGTTGCCTGGAACGTACTACACCACCAGCACCACTGCAGCGGGCACGACCACAACAGCTTTACAGCCGCGCAGTCTGCAGTTATCCGTTTCCCCGCCGCCGCCAAATATGACGCCCACGAGTCAGGTGCACATTGGAACCCTTGGAGGAGGTCCAACAGGATCTGGAGGAGGTCCGGCAGGATCCGGAGGAGGAGGAGGAGTTAACCTGCGCAGCCCCAATAGTTACAACAGCTACGACAACGAGGACTCGTTAAAGGAGTTCGATCTGGTGGTCAGCTCACGGATGCATACAAGCACGCCCCAATATTCGGTAGCCAAAAACGGAACCAATGGTTATGGCAGTAGCAACAGCAATGTGAATGGCGGCCTAGCAGGTTCAAACACGCCACAAAAGCAAAAGCATCCCAATAACGTGCCATATGATCCGCTAGTGCATACTAATAATAAGCCGCCATATAGCTTTAGGTAACTATATAGATTATAAGCAAGACCATTGAACCTCATTTTAAATGTGCTTAACTTTTGCAGTTCCTTGATCTTTATGGCCATTGAGGGTTCGAATGAGAAGGCACTGCCCGTGAAAGAAATCTATGCGTGGATTGTGCAGCACTTTCCGTACTTTAAGACGGCGCCCAATGGCTGGAAGAATAGCGTGCGTCACAATCTGTCGCTAAACAAGAGCTTCGTCAAGGTGGAGAAGGCGCCTAATATGGGCAAGGGATCGTTGTGGCGTGTGGAGCCACAGCAGCGCCAGAATCTCATCCAGGCGTTAAACCGATCGCCCTTCTTTCCCAACTCTGCAGTGGATAAGATCAGTCCCTCGCTCAAAAGTCCTAGTGGTGGATCCGGTTACGATAGCCTGGATGGCGGTGCAGTTCCCTCAATTCAGCCAGTGGCATCGGGAGCAGGAGGAGTTCCAGCTGCCGCGGTGGCTCTGTCCACGCCCACAAAAAGCAATGGTCTGGTGTTGGCCAACGGTGCTAGTCAGGCTACCAACGCAGCCAGGCCGCATAGTCCCGGCGGCGGTGGCAGTGGCAGTCATGCCCGCTTCGATCCCAAGCTCTTCCCCAATCTGTCCAAGGCCTTCCGGAACATACGCGAGGATTCAGCCGGACAGCCTCTGCTGCAAGATCCCCTCGATGATGATTTGTCCGGGGACTATCACAACAATAATAATAACAATGGCAGCAAATACAACTATGTGGGGTTGAATGGAGCTGGATCTGGATCTGGCAGCGGAGGAGTTGTAGGTGTTGGTTCCGCCACTAATGGAGCTTCTGATGGCATTAATTTCGAACGATTGGCTCGCGATTGCGGTGCGGATAGCATGGACGACGTACATGCGGCGGCGGCGATGCTCTTCCTCAAACACGGACCAAAGGCCTTCAGTGAGCCCTACCAGAATGGGTAAATTATTCGGATGATATCAAGGGTAACAAAGTGCTAACCTTTGGTTTTTTTTTCACAGAAGTGCCCCGGTGATTACGAGTTCTCCGAGCGAGGATCACACCTATTCGGCGGGCGGCAACAGCAATGCGGACAGTGGTTCCTCCACGCCCCTGACCAATGGAAATGTCCTGGCCAGCGTAGCACAAGCGGTGGTTCAGGCCCAGAATAACCAAGGAGCTGGATCCGATAGCAATTGCGCCAGCTCGGATGCTGCCTACGATAGCAGTGAGGAGAAGTGAGTTTTAGACTACGTTAATGACGACAGCCATTTGAAATATACAGCTGTTTGTTATTAATAATATTTTACATTCTAAAATTATGATCTGATCTCAATTGAACTAAACCTAAGTAGCAGATATACTTTTGAAAAACAAAAACACTTTTGGGTTTTATTGACCACATTAAAATATGATAAGCAGTGTATAAATTGAATATGTTTGTTTAATGGAATATATAACAAGTGTCTAACTGATGTGTTTTTTTTGTTATATTTTTACCAGTCACAACATCACGCCCGAGGAGATGGCCGATCGGCAGAGGCATCGCGATGGTGTGGACGCCCTGCTCTCGCTTTCCCGCTCCTCGATTGTAGAGTGCGGTTCGGTGGCCACCACCCATTATCACAGCAACGGCAGCAGTGGCAGCAGTCATGGATCCCCGCACAAGCGAGCCTCGAGCCACAGTTTGGAGGAGGAGCACCTGCAGCAACACCGGGAGCAGCAGCACCAGCAGCAGCATCAACAACATCAGCAACAACATCTTCAGCAGCAGCAACATCAGCAACACCTCCAGCAGCAATTTGGCAGCAATCAAGCGGTCTACACCAATGGCAGTGGCAGCAAAATGGCTCTATTGAGCAGTGCAGCTGCCAACGTGGCACTCGCCCAACAGCAACAGCAGCAGATGCACCAGGACCTCTACTCCTCGCCGGCTGGGCATACTGCCAGTTTGTATCTGGGTGGACTGAACAATCACTGCCTGCCTGGTGTAGGCGGTGTCGGTTCTGTGGGCGTGGCAGCGGGCATGTTGCCACAGCATTTGAGTGCTGCAATGGTGGCTGCTGCAAGTAAAAATAAGGTGAAACCGCTGCGAGCATTACGCACCAAGATCAAGCGAAAGTCCGCCTGGATGCGGTGAATATGGCGGCAGGCTGGCGGCAAATGGACCTAATACAGCCATAAAAAAATGCCTCCCTACCACGACCCCTACCCGCCCCTGCGACCTATTGTTGTCTCTTTCTAAAGCAAAAATTGTTCAAATCACAGAGCATTTAGACTAAAATTCATAATCTTAAAAGGGCTGAGAAAGAAAGCCATTTTTTCTTTTTTGTTTTTTTGCTCTAACTTTTACCAATTTATTTTTGTGTGTTTTTACCCTTGCCCCGTGTTTGTTATACAAATTTTTGACTATTTTTTTTTTATTACTATAAATTTAGCCCTAAATGTTTTTTTGACTTTACTTTTTCGCAATCGATTGTTGGCCATTTAAATTATACTTGATTAAATATTAATGTTTGATTTACTAGCCATCCTAGCTGCAATTTCATATAACTCTTAGCCCTTAAGTGCAATTCTGATCCTTTTTAGCTTGTAATTTTAATTTGTGCAAATATTTTACAATTCAATCGCAAAACGAGAATACTTTTAATGGCAACCAGATAAGAAAACTAGAATTATAATGGAAAAGTGTCTGGTTTTTTAAGACCCCATATTCGTTGTTAGCTTTTAATACATACAGAAATCTAAATTATTCATTTTAACTCGCGAAATGAGGGACACAAACAAAGTAAACTTTTCCAGCGTATCAGTGACAAGGTTTATACCAAAAGAAAATAAAACAAAAAAGAAAAAACACCAACAAATTGAGCTAAGTAAGGAAATCTAAGAAAATAAAAACGAAATAACGAAAAAAAAATTGTAAAAAGCGCAAGAAAAAGGAAAAAAGCAAGAAAGCAAACGGAACGTTTGTACAAAGAGCAACCAGAATTAAGATAAATTCTTTTTTTTTTCGGTTTTGTGCCGCAAAAAATGTTTTTTCTACACTTATAAGAAGCAAAACACCCTACTTACATGATCTAAAAACAAAACGATTTACAAATATGTATACACATAGAAAAGAGTTATATAGAGAAACTTAAGATGAGCCAAGCAAGAACCCACAAAAGGAACACACATTTAGCGCCTTATACATTGAGTCCTTAGCTAAAAACAAAAGAGAGATCTGTTGAATTGTTTGAACTGCTTTGTTATACGGATGCATGAGTACATATATATTCTATATCTATATATCTAAGGTCCCAACCCTTTTTCCCCGCCCCACGACCCCCACACGACACTCAAGCAAATGTTAAATCAAAGATATTTAGTTTGTAAGCCAGGGAGAAAACGAAAATCCTATTTGTAAGCTTCATTTATATGGTTACGTAGTTGAAATGCTAAACATTTGTTAATGAGAATCAAACCGTAAGCTAGCCGATTTTAGTTGAATGAACCTCCTCCAATATCCCCGCCCCAAGTGTATATACAGAATGGAAAAAGAAAAGCTGTTGAAATTATGCTTACACATCTTTACATAGGCATATTGTGGAAACCAAGAAATACTTATTACCATTTAAATAAGCAAAGGAAGAACTTGACAAAGAACGCCCTAAGTGTATACACTTCATGTACCTTTTTAGCAAAAAGCAAAAACGCAAGAGCAAAGATCGCATTAAATTAACAATTACGAAACTAAAATAAATGTTGATGTCAAAGAGAAACCAATTTGCTAGTTGTTACAAACAAAAAAAAAGGAAAAATGTTAAAAATATTGTGTTTCCTCAAAAACTTATTATTACGATTATGGTTTTTTTTTTTGTTTTTTAGTTTAATTACGTAAGAATATTGCCTTGAAGCATGTTTTGGGGAAAGAAATGTGACTAAAATAACAGAAGCGAGAACAACAAAATAATTGTATACCTAGCTTTAACTTAAGGTCCTACAAAAAAATCCCTAAAGCCCCTTTATAACCCCCCTCTTCGCACGACACACAGTGAAAGACAATCGCCGCCCGTGTTGTTGTCGTTGTCGCTTAAGTTTAAACAAATTCTATGTAGCTACGAGTAATATATATATAACTTACACACAGCAATAGCAAAGTACATATACGACAAATATTGTTATACAACCTTAAGCTTTAGCCGAGAGAAGGTGGAAAACTATCTTCCCGATCCCACAACTCCTATTACCTATATCCTATATCCCCAACAAAAAAAAACAACCGATGAGCTAACCAGTTTTGTTAATGTGTTTTTTCTTCTATTTTAATTATTATATCGCATTATTATTATTATTATTACCGTATATATATTCATGCTGGTATATATATAATTGATTATACAACTTTTTTTGCGTACCAAATACACACCAATCAAAATGTGAAATATTTTCTTTATTTTATATGTGTTTTATTTCGGTCGTTGATTTTGTTGGAAAACGTTTTTTGGAGTATTTTCCGAAACAAAATAATAGTTTTCAATTGTATAGCTTGTGTTTTTATTTGGTTTGATTTCTGTTGATTATTATAAAAAAAAACGAATGGCTTCCTTTTTTTTGTTAGGCATTGTTATGTTAATAAGTTGACAGCAATGTGAATATAGCTTATAGTTGTACATAAATAAATATAGAGTTTACATAGAGAGATCGGATTCTGTTGACCTATAGTAAGTGCCTGCCTTCTCCCCTGATGCTGATAAAAAAGAAAAACCCTGGGGAAAAACCAGAGTAGAGCTTTGATTAAATGCCGCACTGTTGCCAATTTTCATAGATTTGTTTGTTGAAGTGTTAGCTTGAAGCTAGATGAACTCGATCTTTAAGCCCCGCCTTGCTTTAGCCTCAATAAAAAAAATCAAAAACGAAGATAAGACACTCACCTACACACAATGTACAGACTACAGGGTATCCAAAACATCTCGACAAAAAACCGAAGAGAATGAGATATATTTGCCCACACAAAACATATATGTATATCTCTCTGATGAATAGGATGATCAATATCAATCTGTTTGCCCTCCAAGGTTTCAACTAGCGCCTGTTTTTATGTCTCTAAAACCTCTGTACCAAAAACATTAAATACAAAATATACAAAAATAAAATAAATTAATTAGTATATGAACTCTTAAAAAATAACAAGCAAAATTTAAGCAAATCTAACATAAATTATATTTATATATATGTATGGAAGCAAAGACAAACAAAATGGTTAGGAAGAAAATGTTACCCTGTATTTTTTTAGACATAACATTTTTCTACTTTTTGGACGATGTAAAACCCAAAGAAAAAACCAAGAAACGGATGTAAAAATATGTATGCATATAAAAGGTACAACTTTTTATTTTAGTTTGTTGCTAATTTATAAAAAAAAAACACGGAACCAGACGAACAAACCAAGTGCGAAACAGATTAGGGACTGATCTTTGGGCCTGTATCTTTGTGTATAAGCGAATTGTGTATGACATACAATAAATAAATTACTCTCCACCCATCTGTTGATATCGAGCAAAAAGAGTGTGCGTTTGTTTTTTCATATTTTAAGGGAGTAGCGTTTACAAGTGGGTTAGCAGAAAGGCTTCCAAAAAAAACTTATGATGAACTCTTGGTCGCATGTTGAAATGTCATGTCGGATACGTTATAAAATTTGCAAATATTTTCCCGAAAATTCTAGTCTAGATTTAAATCTTGATTTGAAATCTGGGTCGGTTCATTTCTAAACTTTCACATTTTCTTTTACATACAATTCAAATACATTCTACACACAATTTTACTCCGTTGTAAGGGGCGACATCTGTCGTTTTAAAACTAAACTTCTAAAGCGCCCCCTGTACGGTTGGAAATAGTTTTGTAGTAATGAACTTTTTGGGGTTAAAAAAGTAAACCGTTAATGATGAATTGAAGTGGACCCAATTTTAAACGAGTAAGTTTTTAAATTTTAAATTCGTTCCATGGTTTTTTCACCCAAAAAGCCTTTCCCAAAATGATAAATTTATTGTATTGTATTGGAATACAGTAGATTCGTCTTTATTGAATTTGATTTTTCTGTTCAGTTTTACATGCTATATAAACTAGTTTATTAATCATATTATTATTATTATTATTTATATTCGCATTATTTCGTGTTTCTCATTTCAGCGACATCTCAAATGTCTCTCCTTTATTTTGATAATTGTTTTTGTGGCTGTTTACGTTTCCGTTTTCATTTGATTTCCCTTTATTCGACTTGATTTTTATTTTCTTTGCAAATCGTTGGTGAAAATACATTTCAATGAGCTCAAATCAAAAACACAATTACAGTTTAGCTTAATTAAAAAAAATATTCATTACCTTTAATTCATTTTGGTTTGTTGTTAATTTTATGCTCGTGTGCATTTATACAAGAAATGCTACAAAAAAATGTCTTTGCTTTTGTTTTTCTTTTGTTTTTCTTTTGTTTTTCTTTTGAGTTTATTCCGGTTAATTTTCATGTTGCTTTTGCTTAGATCTTAGAAAATGATTCCGAGGTTGCCAAAAATTGTATGTGCTTAAGTTTAATATATATTTATAATATAAATATAACTATAAATGGTTTTTTGGTTTTTGTATTTACTTTTGTTTATATGTATATTTTTGATATTTTTGCTGCTTTTTTGTTTTTTAATTGTTTTTTGGGCACATTTTGCTAATTTGCTTAAGAATCTTCTTAACTTTTGTTACTCTTCTCGCTTCGTTTTCTTTTGCATTCTGTTCTGGTTTTTCATTTTTCATATCATTTTTGGGCGGATTTCAAACTGAAAAACGGAGCTGGCTCTTATCAAGATCATTGTCGGTTGAAAACTTAGGGATTCGGCTTGGTATCGGTTCAATATCGACTGCTTTTGTGTGTTAACTACGGTTCTTGTTCTGGTTCATGTTTTCTCATTACCATTCAACAGTTCTGAATGCATATACTTTTATATACGTAATTATGTGTGTGTATAATATATATCTGCTGGTTAACACTATGTTAAGTTAGGTTATTTCAAGTCATGCTAATTGTTCGCTTTTTATTTTCGTTTGAATCTGCTAAAATAACTTGCTGGTATATCCTTTCGACTTATTATTCCTTATGCTTTAAACATAATATTGATATGGTCTGGTTTTTGTTTTCGCGTTATTACTATCTGATCTGAACTCTTCGATATATTTTTTGGATTTCCACTAAGTTTCGGTCTTACTTTCTTATGTACAGCTAATATTTAGTGGGTGAAAAAGAAGGGAAGGGATTTATGACATTATTGGCAAAGTCTCAAAACTGGAGAGTGTGTGTGTGTGTGTGTGTGGAATTGTGTGCGTATATCACCATGGGCTTAAATTCATTCATATTCATATAGATATCGGTATATCTATGTCTAAAAAAAACAATCAATCAATCAATCATTGGTATAAAAAGTGGCGCGTGTTTGTTTGTTGTGTTTTTGAATTGGAAGGATAATTTCATATATATCGTATTTACAGCTCAACTCTTTTGATTTTAATTTATTTCCGTATCCGTTTAATAGCTTTGTTTAAAATTAATTACGTATGTTTTGGAGCAGTACGGATCTATCCAAAAAATTACCGCTTCCCTTATATAATGTGGGTCAGCGCCTGTACGATTTACTTTACTTGACTAGCACCGCATATTGTTAATAAATACAACTATGTATGGTATTTATAAAAATGCTGATCATGCATATATAACTAGGTCTGTAATGGGCTTATATCGGATGGGTCGGCGAGGGGTATTCCGACTTCTTGGCGCTCCCAAAAGTATGCTATACAATTTCAGTGTGTTTTTGTGTCTGTGTTTTCCGTGAGGGTGGGTTTCGGGGGTTAAGGTTTATGGGGTTATCTGGGGATTACAAGAGATTGCGAGTACTTTCGTTCCTCAGCGGCATTTTCTGCGATTTTTGGTGTTTCTTTTTTGGTTGTTGTTGGAAAATAAAAAAGGATCTCGATGGGTTTTTTTTTTCGTTTAAGAAAACATTTTTATTTGATAAAGTTTCGTTCATGTTCATGTATTATTGGTATGTTGTCGCTTGTGTTTTCGCTTTCTTTCCTTCTTTTAATATATATATATATATAGATTTATATTATAATTACAATAATAATAATAAAAATACGAAGACAAAAAAATTGTATTTAAGAAATAATTAAAACTAAAAGTTGCGAACCATTTCAACGTGTCGGTTTTGTCTTAGCTCAACTTTCGTTATCCATATTTTGTATATATTTTATATATATTTATTTATTACTTGTTTATCTCATATTCATATAGATGTAATTTATTCTTTAGCTAAAGCGTATGAAAATGCAAAGTATTAAACTCGATAACTTAAACGCAAACAGGAGGAAAATAGAACAAATTATAATTTAAAGAAGATCGTAACAAATTTCGCTGACAGCGGGCAAAAATTGTTTGCATATTTTTTAAAAATATTTTTAGTTGTTTTTTTTTTTTGTTTTGAGTTTCGTTTCTTGTATAAATTTCGCTTGAAGACGCAAATTGTATTTTGTTTTAGGTTTTTTGAAATGTGTTTGGTATATGTTGGTAATTTTTTACTCTTTATTTCTCTTCTCATATATATGTATGTAATAATAATAATAATAACGCGGCAAATTTTGGGCCTATGCAAAAATGGTTTTCGTGTAGTTTTAATTTATTTAGCTTTTTTTTTTGGTTTTGAGAATTCTGTTTTTTGTTTAGCTTAAACATTTAGCCTAGGAAAAAAAAGGTTAAATATTTCTTAAAATTTGTTTTTTGCTCTTCTTGGTTTTCTGTGTTGTTGTCTCTTGTTCGTATAGGAAAACAGATTCATTTTTTTTTGTTATATTTTTTTGTTTGTTTATTTTGTAATTTATTTAATATTACGATTACGTTGTAAACTTAAGATCTAGGCAAAAAAAAATTGGCTGTCTTAGATTAGGGTTTTGTTTTTTTTACGTTTTTCTTTTGTGTAATTTCTTTAGTACGATATGCGGTTTGTGTTTTTTTTTTTTATTTTCATCTTTCAATATTTTAGATTCACAGAAAAAAATTGTTGTTATTTATGCTAGGGTTTAATGCAAATTTAAATTACCGTTAGGCTAAGTTGATAAATTTTCCATTTTTCGCTTCATATGCATATGTATAATTATATATAATTATGTATAGAATAATTAGATTATAAATAATTTAGTGCATTTTGCATGTTTATTTTTGCTATAATTATGAATTACTCAATTTGTGTGTGTGTTTTTTGTTTGTGTTTGTGGGTGTGTGTGTGATTTTTATGTAAATTCAGAATTTACAAAGTTTATTGTTATATATTTTTCTCGATTCGCCTTCTATTCCTCATCGTCATATTACTTTATTTTGGGCAACAAAATAGGGGAAAACTTTATGCTCGCTGCACTTCTGCTTGGCCTTTAACTATCTTTTACTTTGGATATTCACTCCACGCCTTCCACAATTCCCTTTCAATATCTGTTTCGTTTTGTTTCATTTCATTTCATTTCATTTCATTTCACTTCATTTCGTTTTGCTTTGTTTTTGTTTTTTTGTTTTTTGCTTGAGATCAAAAGATAGTTAAACAAGTCGGTTGCTGAGGGTGGTAGAAGGTTGGATTTTTAGGAAGAACGTCAGCAAGATCATGCCTCGCGAGAAATCTATGTACACTATCATCGTCATCTACGTGATCATCATTTATTTATTCATTCATTTATTTACACTTAACCAGCTAAACTGCTAATAATCATATAATAGTTTCTCAAAAAAAAAATATGTATATATAGAATAGAATTACGTGTGTAGTTATCAATCCTACCGCCTTTGCTTACAGTCTTCAAGTAGAAACAAATCGAAAAATCGAAATCGAAATCGAACATCTTTGCAAGATCAAATCTTTCACTATCAATTGGATCTCGACGTTTTGGTTAAAGTTCTTCGGCAAGCCGGGGGTCTTAAATGGGGTTTACTTTTCATTAATACTTTTGCGCTGCTCTCCACCATCGTAATCGCATAGCGTCTCTAAACTTTTAGCTACATCTATTACAACTGCTCAACCTAAGGCTACCTTACCGGCTACAACTAACGCCTATATTTAGTAGTTAATGTTTAATGAAAAAAAAAAACAAAAAAAAAAATAGAGTTTTCTAGGGCCTAAGTGCTATATATATATGCATATATAGATGCATGTATGCATGTCTCCTGGGTCCTCACACACCGTTTAAATATTCAAACTTAATCACAAGTAAACGCTTCTCTCTACATTGCACTGAATTCTTATATAGTTCCTCTAGTAATTCCAACCGGCTGCCGTGGTTGCACCAGATGCGGTGGTTACTGCCGGTGTGGTGTTGCTGCTGTTGCTGTTGCTGCTGCTGATGTTGCTGCTGCTGCTGTTGGTGCTGCTGCTGCCGGTGGTGGCCTCCCCGCTGGGAGGGGGTGGTGGTGGGGCCAGTGGGGCGGGCATCTCCTCGGCGGATCCGCCGCCAGTGCTGCTCAGTCGCCGCACTCGCACCATGCGCAGCTTCTCCTCGTTGACGACCTTGAGCTTCTGATCGCTGGCCGTGGAGTCCTCGTTGTTGTCCACAAGATTGGCCAGGCCACCCAGTTGCTCCACATCGTCGTCGTCGTCCTCCTGCTTGATGTGCACCTCGGGCTCCATGAAGCGCTGGTCGATCTCCAGCTGGGCATGCTCATGGTCGGAATCGCCGCCGGCATCCGTGGCGGATGGCTTATCGGGATCGTCGCGTCCATACTCGGAGGCCTGCATCACGCACACCCCGTTGATGATCCGCTCGCTGTCCGCCGCTGCCGCTGCCGCCGCTGCGACGGCGGCGACGACGGCACTGGGATTGGTCACCGCCCCGGCGGGATTCACCCACTGGGGGGCGGCGGGCTTGCGGCGCGAGCTGCGCACCGCATTGGACATGTAGGCGGCGGCGGCGGCGAGGGCGGACTTGTGCAGCGCCTTCTCGTAGTCGGTGGTGGTCTTGTCCTCCGGCTCCTGACCCTCCAGCGACTCGTTGTCGCTCAGCGGATGGCCGCCGCCGCCATCCAGCTCGAGGTCGTCCTGGTAGTCGTCGCTGCGCTCCCGCTTCAGCGTGGGCATCGACAGGTCCAGGCCGCTCATCTGCTCCTTGAAGGCCTGGTTGAGGGCCTGCAGCTCATCGCCGCCAGAGGCGCCGACTGCTGCGGCTGCTGCAGCTGCTCCAGCCGCAGCCGCTGCGCCGGGAATCCCCGCCAGACTGCGTCCGAGCAGGGCGGCGGCGGCAAAGTACGGCGGATAGGGAATGGGGGCGCCGCCCAAGCCCATCCGCTCCTTGTGCAGCTCGACCAGGCGCTGCTGCAGCAGGATGCGGAACTGGACGGGATCGAAGGGCGTGGCACTGGTGCTCTCGCGACTCGGAATCGGATTGTCCTGGCCGGCGGGACCGTGTGGCACCTGTTGCTTCAAGCGCATGCGATGGTTGTGGAACCAGTTGGTGATCGTCCGCGTGGCCAGGCCCAGTTCGTTGGCCAGAAACTCAATGGTGCCCACATTGGGATACGGATCGAGGGCGAAGGCCAGCCGCAGGGCCTCCTTCTGCTCCTCGGAGAAGAGGACGCGCTGCTTTTTGCTCGGCGGTGCCCCGCCCACGCCCGATCCCACGGATCCGGGACCCGGACTGCTGGTGTAGAAGTCGTTGGTGTCGTTGCTGGAGGTGTCGCTGCTGTTGTCCTGCTGATTGGGGCCCGTGCTCCTGCGCCGCTTGCTGGCCTCCCGCCGCTCGTTCTTGAGCAGCTGCAGTCGCTCCACGTTGTTGGCATCGCTCAGCCACAGCTGCATCCGGATGAAGGGCTCCCTGCCCTTGATGGAGAGCATGTGCCAGGGCTTCGGCTTGCTGAGCAGCTCGGACACCGATCCCTGGGACAGGCCCAGCACGGCCTCGCCGAATATCTTCTGGCCAATGTTGTTGGCCAGCAGGGCCTCCTTGATCTTGGTGGTGATGTCGTGGGTGTCCAGGTCCTGGGTCAGCGCGGCCATCTCGTACACGGTGGGCGACATGTGCTGGTGCAGACTGCGCATGGCGTTTGTGCCATGGACTGGCATCAGCATCGGCTTCTTCTCGCTGTTGGAGGCACTCGAGTTGCCCGGTCCGCCGGGACCGCCCGGCTGGACGCCGCCCGCCGACGGGGGCAGGCTGATGGCATGCTGGGGCGGCAGGCCGGGCGAGGTGAGGAGCATGCTCTGGTGATGCAGTGCGGCAGCCGCTGCCGCAGCCTGATGATGCTGCTGATGGGGATGCTGCTGCTGCTGCGCCAGATGCTGCTGTGCCTGCTGCTGCGCCAAGTGCTGCTGCGCCTGCTGCTGCAGATGCTGTTGCGCCTGCTGCGCTTGCTGCGCCTGCTGCTGCGCCTGGGCCACCTGCTGCTGCTGCTGCTGCATCGCCGCCGACATGGCCGCCGCCTGCATCTGCTGCATCAGGTGCTGCGCCTGCGCCGGCTCCTGCAGCTTCAGTTCGCTCATCATCTTCTGCATGGGCAGCGAGGCGGCCTGCATCTTGCTGGCCAATCCTTGGGGCATCTGCGGACTGCCGCTGTAGCTGCCCGTCCGCATCAGCTTCTCGGGCGCGATCTTGTACTGGCTGGCCACCAGCTTGTGCACCGCATTCTCATCCTCCAGGAACATCTTCATGCGGATGAAGGGCTCGCGTCCCTTCTGGGTGAGCATGTGCCAGGGCTTGGGCCGGGCCAGCAGGTCGGAGACGGATCCCTGGGACAGGCCCAGCACGGACTCGCCGAACAGACGCTGCGAGATGGAGTACTGCGAGAGGGCCTCCTTCACGCGCCGCACAATGTCCTCGGTGTTCAGGTTGTTGAACATGTCGAACTGCTGCTGGGTGATCGGCGGCAGGACCGCCTTGGTGGGTCGCTGCGGTGTGCTGTGGTGCGGCGTCACCGGCGGCTGGGTGATCAGCGAGTTGGTGATGGAGGCCATCCGCTGCAGCGGACTCGCGGTGGCCGCGAACTCCTCACCCTGGCTGCTCAGTGCCGGCGGCAGGATGGAGTTGCTCAGCGGACTGGGCGCCGCCGAGTTCCCGCTGGCCCCCCCCCTCCCCCACCTCCACCTCCTCCTCCGCTCGAGGGTGCTCCTGCTCCGGGCACTGGTCCCGTTGCTCCTACACCTCCGCCACCGACCGACTGGCCCGCTGAGGGGGGAGCTGGTGGGGCGGGTGTGCCGCCGCCCTCGGACTTGCGACCATGCAGCGAACTCGGATACGCCTCGTCCCGCTCGCCATCCTTCGAGCAACTGCTGCTGCCGGCACTGTGCTCCAGCGAGGATCGCTGGCCGTTCAGCTTGATGTCCTTGGCGGCGGCGGCGGCCAGCGAGAGGTCCTGGGCACCGTTCAGCACCTGCTGCTGCAGGGCCATCAGGCTGGAGAAGTTGGGGAACTGGGCCTGGGCCGCCTGTTGCTGCTGGTGCTGCTGCAGCTTGGCGAACTCCCGCTCGAAGACGTGCCGCATGTTCTCATCGGCCATGGCGGGAAAGGCGTTGCTGGCCGCTCCCGGCATTCCGGCTGCTCCTCCGAAGAGCGAGGGTGAGAAGAGGAAGCTGTTTGGGGGACAGGCGGGTTAGTTATGTGACTGAAGGAATGGGCATTGGTGTGCCAGAGTAACACTCACTTTGGAAAGGCCGTCTCGCGCGGAGTGCGGGCGATGAGCTCCTGGTAGAGACGGGCCATCTTGTCCTGGGCCAGGTCCTCGTGCCGCAGCCGCTGCTGCTGCTCCCGCTCCCGCTCCCGGTGCTCCCGGTCCCGCTCCCGCTCACGCTGTAGGCCGGCGGCGGCGGCCTGGTCGGGATTGTGGTGCTGGTGCTGCTTCAGCTGCTGCTCCACCTTGAAGAACGGCGAGGTGCAGCTCTGCGGCGGCGACTTGCTGTCCTCGTTGCTGTGCGAGTCCTCGTGGCCGCGGCGCTCCTGGTGCTCCCGATGCTGCTGCGCCACGCTGCTCTGCTTCATCAGCGAGGAGGCCTCGCTGAGGATGTGGGCAATGCGGTCCTCCGACATGGAGTCATCGCCGCCAGCGCCGCCGGCTCCGCGACCCGCGTACTGCGGCAGGCCAGAGTCTGCAAGGGAAGAGCGATGGATGGGTAGTCCAGATTAGTAGGAGGCCTGGTGATCGTAAAGCCCATTAAATGCTGTAAACTTTATGCCAAAACCCAACTCATTTATAGGGGGTTCGTTTCGTCCGCTCGCACCATTGGCAGGACATGGAGATGGACATGAACCTGGTCTCTAGATTCTGGATACTGGTTACTGGTTACTGGATACTGGATACTGGAACCCAAACCAGACCGAAACCAATTAAGCCATAAAGCGTTCAAAAAGCCAAAGCGAATTTGCGGCCATAAAGCGGCGCTGCAGTTGAAAGGGCCCCGCCAAGTGTCCACCAAAGTGCCACGCCTCTTGCCGCCAGACCGCCTAACCGCCCATCCAATGCACTGACAGAAATTTCGAATGGCCCCGTAGGGCAGGGGCTGCTCAATTATAAGCAGTCCAACAACACAAACGGCATGACATGAATGGTGTATAAAAAAATATTCGTGTTTACTTCGTTTTTTTTTGTTTTTTTTTTTTTTTTTTTTTTTTTTGACCCACCCAACCCAGAGTTTTCCCATCCAACTCTCTCTGGACCTCAAATAGTTGTTCGATGGCAAAGCGTTGCGCTAATTTGGCACGCGCCAGTCCCCAAACCCTGGGAAAATGCTCATCGAAGCGAGCGTCCAGGAGTTGAATAAACGAAACGAAACGAAATGAATAAATGAATGAATTCAATTGCAATTGAGAGAGGTCGGGGGAAATGCAAAAAAGAAAAAAAAAAGAACGAAACGTAAAAATCGCAAAAAAAAAAATGGAAAAACTGAAAATTGTTTTGCTGAAATTCAATTGAAAACGAAATGGAGGAGCGTTTTGCTTTTTGGCTTTTTGCTTCTCGTGACAGAGAATCGAGTGGTAAATTGCAAAATAATCACACAAGTGGTTAGAGCCACCCACACATGGGCCACACCCACACCCATTTGACATGGCGCCCGAGCAGGGACCATTGAATTTCCTGTGTGATGTCCTGCGGCATGTTTTTGTGGCTGCCACAGCAAAAACATCAATCAGCCGCACACGTTCAGCGGAATGGAACGCAATGCGGCGAAAGGCGGGGGAATGGGTAGCGAAATGAAATAACTGAAAATCGCTTTACAATTGCCAAGCATAATCGATGCCCAAAGGAGCAAACACTTGGCCGCAAATAAAACTGCAAGAATCGGACGCAAGCGGAAACGGAAATCAACACATGAATGACAAATGTCCAAGCACCGGGCAACGTTTCCTCTTTCCCCTTTCCTCTCTCCCCCTTCCCACCATTTCCTCCAACATCCTGGACGACAGCCATTGAAGCGAGAGATTTCCAAAAAATAGGTGGATAGTGTGGGTGCCCATGTGGAGTTGGACTCCCCAGAGTAGATGGATAAAGGCGATAAAATGGCCAACTACAATAGATCCTCCACATCTCCACCACTCGTTGTCATGACATAAAAATTGGAAAAATGATTCTCTTTTTTTGTTCCTTATGCTGACTCCTTGTCGTCGCTTCATTTGGGGATTACAAAGTGTTTTTGTGTTATAAAGTCGAAGATGACATTGATGACACCTGGAATGACCCAGGCGGACCAGAGATGGGATCGAACAAAGCGATGGATGGTGTGGAGTTGGTCAGACACAGACAGCTTAAGCGGTCTTAGTGAATGATTGTGGCGAGCTGGAGGGGATTGGATCGGATTGAATTGGATTGGATTGGGTAAGTGGCTGGGCGCAGAGCACTTTAAAGCCGTGGTCCGTATGTAACCGATAGAGTAATTGGGAAATTGGTTGCTATTCATGATGTCTTGGGACTGCGACATTTTGTATTTGAGAGTTTAGTTAGGCAAAGGAAATTCCTGTTAATGAACTGCAAACTTTTTGTTTACCCAATTTCCATATTTTAATATTTCAGCAACAAATTCAAGAGTCTCACGTGGCGCATTTCATTTGCTGAGCAGACAAAGCTGTCGTCCCTCCAACCATTCTACTTTGCAAAGGACTTCTTCCCCCCAAAGTTGCCCGCAGTTTTTTGGCCCAACTTTCGCTGCCATCCTTTATGGCCATCATTCAACTTTTTACTATATATATATATATAGATATAGATAGCGGGGCTGGTCGGTAGTTGGGTCGGTAGATATGGATATATATTTGTCGTTACCGTTGGCCACTTTTTTGTCTGCGATTTACATTATTTTTTCCGTTGTGTGTTGTATGTTGTGTAACGACCCACACCACCCATTCCAAATACCCAGATGCTGTTTGGATTTTTTTGTTTTGTAATTTATTAGAGAGGAACATGTTGACCAAATTGTCATTCAAAGGGATTTCGGACCGGCAATCGGACAGGGGGAAATATCCGCACCAGATATGAGCTATCATATTTGTCTAGCACATACCAAAAAATATATATGTATATGCATATCTATATCGTATATTTTTATATGACAATCTATCCCATCTCTCTCCCCCCCCACCCCCTCCCTACCATTTCTGGCAATTTGCTTGATGAATATTTGCCTTTTATTACAAATCAGAGGACGAAGAACCCAGACAGTGGCTGCTTCAGCTCCAGAAGGTCTTGGGGCCTTGGGGTTGATTCGTTTGTTTTTTATTCTAATACAATAAATATTTGCCAGCACACAAATATGTAATCATACTTCAACATGTCGCGTCGATTTGAAAGGGTTATATATTTATATATACATATGTCTACGAGGGCGCAAAAATAAAAAAGAAATATATGGGAGGAGGGAATTGAACGGCACATTGAAATTGGCACACGCACGCAATTTGCATTAATTGCAAGAAAAATTTTCTAATTAAAATGCCAGTCATTTGTTTTTCCTTTTCCCCGACTCGGTGACTCCTTTGGGCCCCCTTTTTTGTAACCCCCCTTCCCACCACCCATTCTACTCCCATTTTGTCAGCTATCCATTTGTTGTTGTTCCTGTGTATTAGCAAAAGTGTCAATTAAAAAAAAAAAAAGAAGACAAGGCCAAGTGGGTGGAAAAGGAGTGTAGCTTCAAATGGAATTGGAAACGAAATTGGAGGCTTCTTCTTCTAGCTGAGCAGGAAGTAAACGTAGCATGGTGAATTGAAGAGTTTCGACAGGACGAAAAAGGGGGGGTATACGAAATAGAAGGGGAGGGGGATGGGGAGGGGGGTTATGTTCCTGCACTGCAGAGTCGTCACCTGTTATCAAAAAACGTTTCACTGGCATTTAACCCATTCCCACTCGTACCTTCGCACTCATTGTTTGTCTTGCAATTAAGCAGAAAATATGAGAGAAAGAGACGGCCATGGGGGGTGTGAAAGAGATGGTGGGTTGGTGGGGGGGAAAGAGACAGAGTCAGAGACAGCGTCAGAGACAGAGACGGAGACAAAACCAGCAGCCAAGCCAGGAATTGCATGGAGTGGGGAACGTGCAGCAACTTTGTCTTGCATTTTAATTTGTTTTCGTCATGATTTCGCTTTGTTCTTCCACCTTTTTCAGACCACTCTGCTGCTCGTCTCCTTCCTTCGCTACTGTTGTCAAAGTTCATTACAAAGTAATTAGCTGCCTTATATGCAAAATAAAAAGCACAAAAATCAAGCACGAACACGACATGTGCAACATTAATTTGCCGTGTGTGTCTGTGTGTATTTGTGTGTGGCTCGAAAAAGTTTCCCATTTTGTCTGCTTATTTTTGTATTTTATTTAATTTTTGTTTTTATTACAGTATTTTTCGGTTAGTCCTCATCAAATTATTAGCACTCCCTGATCGGAGGCCATTACTCTTCGGCCGGGGCTCTTTCATTCCTGATTGCCTCATTTCGTTCATCACAAAGATATCAAAGAAATTCAAAATAAAATAAATTTTAGCTGCTGCTGGCGATCGTCAGATTTATGAAAATTGTTGACCGAGCTTTATGCTAATTTATGCGTATTGTTTGGCCGGCCCACGCAGTCAAACCTCCACCACCCAAGAAAATAAAAAGGAAAACCACCTCATCTGTCTGTTTTGGTTACCGCAATAAGTCGCCACACTTCTGCGAAGCCACTCAATGAACAATATTTTAATGGCTGCACGCCTGAGTGTTGGTGTATTAGGGATGTCACCCGAAGGATCGATACATAAATATCGGATCGATAAGTTTCGATTTTTTCGATATCTTTGTTTTTGATACTTAGGTCACAAGTGAACTTTTGAGTTCAAGATTTAAGTATCAGGATTTCGTTTAACTATCATATGGAACAGATATCTGCTTGTGCTATATCCTTTCTATTTTTAATTTAAATAATAAACTATCAATAATATTATTGTTGAACGATACATGCACATCCCTAGCACTGTACCTGTGCCTAATGTGTATAAATAAAATCTAATAAAATGAAATACAATCAAGAGATGGGGCCGAAAATCGCGTAGAGGCAAAGGAATTGATACGCCCCGTTGGTCACTTAGTCAGAGCAATATCTCGCAGTATTTCTTTTATTTTCCTCGTGTGGCAGCAACCAAACACAACAACAGCACACACACTTTTAGTCCGCTTTATGGCTTGTGACAAATAATTTGTGAAGCGGCCGCAAATAAATGTGTGGCAGTCTGCCTTTCTTCTTTTTGTTTTTATTCAGCCGCATCTTCTGGCGTTTGGAATGCTTTTGTTTTGTCGAATCCCGTGTGCGTTGTGTTTTTGGTTCTATTCTTAGGCACGAGTGCGAGTGCGACACTCTTTTTTTTTTGGCCTGGCCCGAGTTGGCCTGGCTAAAAGCAAATAGACGACAACACGGCAGTGTCTGCTGAAAATTATGTGTTAATATGCTAGTATTATTAGCTGCTATAATGGCTCCGTTTTCCTCCTTCTTTTCAAAACTCCTCCCCCCACACCACAAACTCCATTCTCCGCTTTTGTCATTACGTATACGCCGCGTAATTTCCTTTTTTTTGCGCTGTATTTGCCTTGGCTTTGAGCAGCATGCTAAACGAGTTTCAATTGAGCACTTAGCTCCCCCTGTTCTTTCCTATTTCCCTGGTATTTTTTTTCGTTTCAGCATTCTGCAAAAGTCCTGTCAACAGTTTTTTGTGCGTTTGTGTTTTGAGCAAACTTTGCTCAAGCGAGAGAGGGGGTGAGTACAAAAAAAATAGGGGAAAGGACTTGAGAGCCCCATAAAAAATCAAACTTATTGAGATAAGATTGCTGTTATTTTTAAAAAAGAAACTAAATCTAGAACACGTTACCTTAAACAAAATATAATAACATATTTTTGAAACTCTTTTAAGTTTGCAAGGGAGTTGTGAATATGCAGTAATCAAATCATACTATTAAGTGTTCAATAAGCCAGTCATAATAACCCTAAAATACTAATCTATTCCTCTAACCTTTTATCGATATTGCCCTGTTTTGAACTCGTTACCCCCAGCAGTTTAAAAAGCAACAATTGTCGTTACAAAAAAAAAAAGAAACAGAAAAAGAAAATCAAATAGCAGCAGGCAAAGAAATAGGGAAAACAAACCCAAAACGCAAAAACTTTTGCGTCAAGCCAGTGGTGTTGTGCTATCCTTACCCCATAGTGGTGCACCACCACTACCACCCACCACCCACCACCCACAGAACCACCCGGTGCACCACCCTCTTTTTGGCCAGCCACAAAGACGACTTCAAACGCTCGGCACGTCAACGTTTTGCATGCCTCGTTGAAGTCAGTTGCAGTTGCGATTTGTTGTTGTTGCTGATGTTGCTGTTATTATTGTTATTGTTGTTGTTATTGTTGTTGTTGTTGTCGTCATCGCTGGTTGTTGTTTACATTTAATTCAACTTCACGTTGTTCGCTATATGTATGCTTATTTTTTGTTGTGATATTTTTTTTTTTTTATGATTTTTTCTGTTGTATTTTGTTTCAAGCCTTTCACAGACCAATTGTCACGGCAGTCGTCTCGTCGAACCACCTGCCTCCGCCCCCTTTTTTTTTCCACCCATCCACCCACTCCACCCCATTCCGTTTTAACCGTTTCGTTCATAACGCGCTTTAAACAATTACAATTCAAAATTCATTGACGCGCATCCTGGGTTAACTTTTGCCACAATGACTTCAAAGTATTGTTAACCAACAGAGTTGACAGGGGCGTGCAGCGCAAGGGGGGTAGGGGGGGTTGGGGGGGTGCTTAGAAGAAGGGTGCAAGTGCACTTGAAACAAAATCGGTATCAAAGCTAGGGAAAATTGCATACTGATCGAAATGAAAAAATTATTTACCAAATACAAATATTGGAATCATTTGAAAATTTGTATCCTTTTTGTTTAAGTCCCTAATTGACATCTTCTGGCCCAACTACATATTTGCTTATAATTAGCAAAGGTAGTTCAAAAAAAGATGGATAACCTCTGTTGCACTTTAGCCTTTGGTCGACACCACCTCCCCCCCCCCCCAGAAGTAAACTTTAGCCCCCACTCCCAACGCCCCTGCCATTAGCAACTCCTCTCTATAAACAGTCACAGTTAGTTTAGCTGCCATGAGTAATCGTCATAAATTAATTGTCAACATTTGCATGCACTTAGACCAACACACACACACGCACACTCACACACATTTGATTAACTTTGCGGCAGGGGCGTCGGTGAAAAAAAAAGAGGGGGAAGGGGGCTACGAATGCGTGCTGGCACTTTAAACATACTTTTGCATTGACATATTTTCGCTTTTCCCGCCGCCGGAAAGTTTTCCGGCCATAAAATTGATGACTAATCAATAAGGGAGCGGGAAACCAAGACAACTAGATAACAAGAGCAGGGGCGCACTTCAGCGGGGGGCTTAAATAGTACTACAAAATAGACCCCTTCTATAAAAACTAATTAACAATTTTGAATAAATTCCAATGATTGTGGTGGAAATGAGGAGTGTACGGATAATTGTGTACCCATAGATGAACCCATTAAATGCATGTCTCAAGATCTACCGTGAATGAAAAACTAAAACTAAACTAAGCAAAAAAAAAAAAACAAAACGAAAAATGAAAATTGAAAAGCAAAAAAAAAAAAAAACGAGACAAAATGAAACGAATTCCTGTTCATTTTCACGCCTAATGTGCGAATTTGCCGAAATTTATGGCGACAGGCAAATGGCCGCTCCAACTGCACCGCAAATGTCTCTCTTTGGTCCACCCCCCACCACCCCCCCACGAGGCACCCTCCCCCTCCCCCCGGCGGCCGCACCCCCTCTCTACCCCCCGGAAAATGGCGTCGTCAAGTTTGTCGCTGCTATTGCTGCTGTGTGGCTGCTGTTGGCACGTTGATTATACGCAAAAATCAAAAATAATTAAAATTTCACAATTTAATGTTTTGGCCGCCGGCCAAACGAAATGAAAAACGCCAAAAGCCGCAGAAAATAAAAAAAAAAAAAAAAAACGAAGAGAAAATCAAAAAGAGAAAGGGGAACAGCGAGGACATCGTTTGAAGTTCGAGTTGAAGGATTCTCTTCAATCGTTTATGGCCTAAAGGCTTGCATCGGGTTTTGGCTTGGTTTGAAACTAGTTCAACGAACTGATAAGTTGTTCTACAAAGTAATGTTTAAAAACGGAGGACACAGAAAATGGGGATAAACTAATATTGATAAATAAATAATTACTTATTACTTTTCTCCCAAACTTTAAGAAGTCTTTTTTTTAAAAGAACACAATGTAATCGTTCAATTAAACCAACAAAATGTTGTAGTCATCATTAAACCTTGTTTAATTTGGGTATCATTACTTTTATCGACTTATTGGATCCTCTGACTATTTGGAGTAGTGTTCGACTTGCTAAACTTCTTCGGTGCACGGGCCTAATATCGCGAAACCTGTCCAACCCACTTAACCCCCACTACATCTGCTTACTGGCTAGTCCACTCACCTTTCTTGGGTATCAGCGACTTGAGGAGCATGACGGCATTGTCGTCGCAGGCCCAGGCGTGCATTTTGCGATAGCTGTCGCGTCCCTTCTCCGTCAGCTTGTCCCAAGGCTTGGGTTTGCTCAGCAGCTCGGAGACGGTGCCCTGGGACAGGCCCAGGATGTACTTGGCGAACAGCCGCTGGCCAATGTTGTGCACCGACAGCAGTTCCCTTACGCGACGCGAGATGTGCAGGGTGTCCAGTGCCTGGTTGGCGTACTTGTCCATGTTGTAGCGCAGCATCTCCTGCAGCTTGGCCTCCATGGGATCCCCCTTGGGTATCAGCGATTCACCCAGCCGCCCGGCCATCGAGGCACCCGGCGGCAACTGCAGTTCCGAGTCGGCAAACCGATAGTGACCCCGTCCATCGCCACCGGCGGCCACTTGGGCGGCGGCAAATTGAAAGGCCGGCAGGCCGGGCAGAAAGCCCGGTCCCAAGGCCGCCGCATGCTGGGCATGAGCGGCCATGGCGGCGGCGGCCAGTCCATTGCTGTCCTCCTGCAGCAGCGACTTGCCGCCGTTGAGGGTGCTGGCCAAACTGGCGGCCAATTGGGCGGTGGTGCTGTTGGCCGTGTTGCTGCTGCTGTTCGACGATCCATTGTTGCTCGGATTGTTGCCAGCACCCACGCCCGTTGTCGGTGTGCTCGAATTCGAACCGGACTCGGTCGCCGCCTGGTGGTGCAGGTGGTGCGCCGCCGAAGGATGCAGCAGGCCGTGCCCGTGCAGATGGTGTCCATGGTGGTGGTTCAAACTGTCGTTGGCCGCTGGATTGCTGCTGTTGCTGCCGCTGTTCTGCTGCAGATGGTGGTGGTGTTGCTGATGGAGATGTTGCTGGTGGTGTTGCTGTTGCTGGTGGTGTTGCTGGTGAAGGTGCTGCTGCTGCTGCTGTTGGTGTTGGTGGTGGTGGTGGGCATCTAGGCGGGAAGAGTTGGAAGAGTTGGAAAATGTTGAGTTAACCAGTTGACTAAGCAGTGCTGTGGACGAGGGTCCATGTTGCTGCTGCTGCTGTTGTTGTTGTTGTTGTTGCTGTGGAAAGTGTAGATGTTGCTGCTGTTGTGATTGCTGTTGTTGCTGCGGGAGTGGTGGCGGTGGTGGAGGTGGCGGTGGCGGCAGCAATTGTGCTGCCTGCTGCTCGGCCCTAAGATTTTGATAAATTGTTGGCGTTTTGCTCCCTGGCATTGCGGTGCTGCTGGTGCTATTTGCATTCCCCGATTCGAAACCTCGTCGCCAATAATCGTTGACCAGTTGCTCCGGCAGGATCACCTCATCGTCATCCTCATCTTCGACTTCCTGTTTGGGCGCCATTTCGGTGCCAGCTTTCGCTTCCGTTTCGTTTGGCAGCTTATCACTTGATGTGGCTGATGTTGCTACTGCATGTGTTGCAGATGTTGCCAGTGTTGCAGCAGTTGCTGCTGGCGACACTACTTCATCTTCATCATCATCTGCATTTCGGTTGATTTCTGGGGATAACAACAAACAAATTGGGCTATTTGTTGTTGCTGCTTTTTAAAGCAAGATCATAATTTTGTTTTTTTGTTTGTTTTTGTTTTCGATATTTTGTATTTGGTCAACAACATCCATGGAACAAAACGCCAAAAATGAATCAAAACTTGTCTTTAGCCGGTTCTTTGTTTTTTCTCAATCAATATCAATATTTTTATTTTTAGATCGTATTTTTTATATTTTCGCCAATTTAGTGCAACAAAATAACAAAGAATCTCTGGTGTGTTGGAGTATATATATATATGTTATATAAATATATAATTATATATTGTATGGTATATAAAAACGATTTATGATTGAAAATTGCGATAAAGAGTGATGGAGTGTGTCGTTCTGCTATCGATAAACATGCAGTACACAACAGCAACATCAACAACAACAACAACGATAATATTGGTATAAAAAAAAACAACAACAACAGTAACAATAACATCGAACGCTCACATTCGCCCGATGCAAATATTTTGTCAGAGGTGGAAATAAAAGGCCAGTTAAAATAAAAAAAAAAAAAAAGAAAGGAGAGCTGTTTGCCTTTTTGGCCCATAAAATCTGGCGCCGTCTGCTCCATTGAATCCCCTTCCCTTCTTGCGTCCGTCCAACCACCCCTCCCCCCTCCTCTACCCGCCCACATATTTCTCAGCTTATTCTTCTCCTCTGAAGGTTTATCCTACGCCGGCGATAAGCGGTCAAATAAACCATAAAAAAATATAAAAAAAGAAAAGAAATACAGCGTAGTCGTCGTCGGTTCCAAATCAAAGCGATTGATAAAACCAAGAAATATCGGATAGGCGGAGGAGGCAGGATGAAGGAAGGAAGAAGAGAGGAGGAGGAGGGGCAAACAGCAGCAAGACAAACCGGAAGTACAGTACTGACTAGGGTGGATCGATTTCTATACCTCTGCAATATTGTACAATTTTTCTCTTCGTTTTTTTTTTTATTACTTTTTCTATTAGAAATTCTCTAAATCAAACGATTAGGCATATTTTTTTTTGATTTTAGAAAAGAAATTAAAATGAAAAAAATTTAGACAAAAAAAAGACAGATATTTATATTGCCTTCAAGTGACTACCTAATGCATTTTCTATAGTTTATTGTATTTTATTCCTGTCCAAATCTTTACAAATCGATACACCCTGCTAAAACATAAAAAAAACATCCCTGCTGATAGCTGATACGCGAACTCGGGACTCACCTTCGCTGATGGCATCACTGGCGCCATTCTTGAGCGCCTCGGCGGCCAGAGCTTTGGTCCGCTCGATGAGCAGCGCCTGGAATTTGTTGGGGTCGTTGGCGCAGGCGGCGGCAGCGGCGGCTGCAGCTGCTGCGGCGATGGCCGATTGCGGACTGAGCACATTCAGATCCAGCGGACTGCTGAAAAGCCAATAAATACGTAACATGAATACCATTTATAAATTAAATGAATATAGTTTTAAGAGATAGAAGAAAAAGTATTCTATATATATATTTATACCCTTGCAGAGGGTATTATAATTTTGGTCAAAAGTGTGCAACGCAGTGAAGGAGACATCTCCGACCCTATAAAGTATATATATTCTTGATCAGGATCACCTCCTGAGTTGATATAGCCATGTCCGTCTGTCCGTCTGTCCGTCTGTCCGTCTGTCCGTCTGTCCGTCTGTCCGTCTGTCCGTCTGTCCGTCTGTCCGTCTGTCCGTCTGTCCGTCTGTCCGTCTGTCCGTCTGTCTGTCCGTCTGTCTGTTTCTACGCGAACTAGTCTCTCAGTTTTAAAGATATCGAATTGAAACTTTGCACACACCCTTCTTTCCTTTGCACGCAGTATATAAGTCGGAACGGCCGGGATCGGCCGACTATATCCTATAGCTGCCATATAACTGATTGATCGGAAATGCCATAACTCTGCTGTTTGTTAAGTTAGGAAGTTGGGATTTTCTATGGGTTTTATATTTGGCCAATGAATCCGACATACCAAATTTCATAAGGATCGGCCGACTATATCCTATAGCTGCCATATAACTGATTGATCGGAAATGCCATAACTTTGGTGTTTGTAAAGTTAGGAAGTTGGGATTTTCTATGGGTTTTATATTTGGCCAATCAATCCGACCTACCAAATTTCATAAGGATCGGCCGACTATATCCTATAGCTGCCATATAACTGAACGATTGGAAATGCCATAACTTTGGTGTTTTTAAAGTTAGGAAGTTGGGATTTTTATGAGTATTAAGAATGCATCATATGAATAATTTTGGAGAATATAATTTACAGAGTATTCTGCAAGGGTATATAAACTTCGGCTCCGCCCGAAGTTAGCTTTCCTTTCTTGTTAAATTTAAAATCAGTTGGGTTACAGTATATTTGCAAATTTGTATGAAATGTTTTTACTGATATGATCAAGAAAACAAAATTGATTTTGTGGGAATCTTGAAGGATATCCTTTGAACTAGATATCCTTTTTAATATATTATATTATGTAAATATATTATTATATATTATCTTATACAATGTACTTACTGCTGTTCCTTTTTGATTTTGAGCTCGTTGCTGTCGGTGGTGGTGGCATTGACCGCCTCCCGATCCTCGGCCTCCTCCTCCTCCTCCTCGTCGTCCTCCTCGTGATGCGGCTCCTCTGGCTTCTCCTCCGCCTCCTCGGAGTCCACCAGCATGGCCTGATCCTCGTCCTCGTCCTCGTCCTCCGCCGGAACGGTGGCCTTTGTGGCCTCTGCCAGATCGCCAATCGATGAGGAGGCTTCCAGCGGTGCGGTGGCGGTGCTCAGCTTCTTGTTGTTGTCGCTGCTCTGGCTGTTGTTGTTGTTGTTGGTGGCAGCAGCGGCCGCCAAGGCGGTGGCCTCGGCCAGTGCCTCATTGATCTGCTGCTTGTCCAGACGCGCCTCCAATCGCATTATGTGCTGCCGCTTGACCTCCAGATGCTCCTCCAATCGCTGGATTTGCACCAAATGCGTCTGCTCCAGTGCCCTCAAGCGCTGCAGCTCGTCCAGAAGTGCTTTAATCTGAAGGAAACAAATAAAAGGGGGAATTAGTTAGCAAATTGGAATTCCATACAAATTAAATGGAGCTGCTCAGTAATAAATAAGCTTATTAGTCTCTTGGCCATTCAGGCAAGAGTATTAAAGGTCAAGGTTGATCAAGTTACTAAACATCAAGAAGTCAAGTTAAACGACTCACAAGAATTTGTATACTTATACTTTTTATAATTTTTTGTTTCTTTTTTTTAATATGTTGCTCTTAAAATATTAACATTTGAGCTCAGTTTTCCTTGTGTATCTGTTTGCACTCCAAAATCCAGTTTATATGTTTCTTGTAATTATACGAACATTTCTGTAGCTCTACACATCTAAGCCCTTATCTAATGTTATTGCCATTTCCCATCGATTGGTGTTGTCTCGTGTTTTCCCATTTACCTTCTGGGAAAATTCACAACTTCCTCACATGTGTTCGTGTGCCAGTATGTGTGTGAAAAGTTCTCGAGAGTTATAAAATAATTTTTAATAAAATTAACAACGACGTCAATGTCGCTCGGCGGTGATTGCCAGCGACTGATGCTGATGCTGGTTTTGTGGGTGGTGGAGGTGGTGATGGCGGTGATGGTGGTGGGACACGTTCCTCAAAACAAACCACCCGACCGCCAAATGCCGCCAGGTACAGTGAAGCCCCAGCCCAGCGAACTGCCACCCCCGCTTTGCCGATGTGGGCTTTGTTTGGAACTTTGTTTGTTTGATGAAAATATGATAATTGGCAAATTTGACAAGGGAATTTTTCTTAAGTGCGTTGAGGGAACACACACACACACCCCTTCTTTCTTCTCTTAATTTTCTTGCATCCCCCCCCTTCCCCCCTCTATGTATGTAAAAAACCCCCTCTCCTTTTTCCTGATCCCCGTTTCTTGGCGAAAGTTGACAAGATAAAGTTTTTCGACAGCGCCGTGTGGTATGCAACGAAATTTTTTAATGACAGCCAGGTGGGCGTGTCCCTCCCCCAATAAGTGCGTGTCTGTGTGTGTGTGTGTGTATTTGTTATTATGTGATTAAAATTAATTTTATGGCGCGGTTTTTAATTGACGCATCTGCCAGCGGCCAAAAGCGAAAAACTTTACCTGTATACCAAAATTATATATATATCGACACACTTACTAATAATAAGAGCCCAGTTTGTACAGTATTTAAATAAGCCAAAAAAAATGAACACCCTAAGATCCTATTAAAATAGACTAGCCAATAAACCCTATAATTTTCCATATAAACTTCGATGTTTTGCGGGAATTGTAACTCAAAACCAAAAGAAAACTACCAATATCGAGCGGTTTTCATGGGTTACAAGTAAGCCCAAGCCCATATGCAAATAAATAAGTTGAGGAATCAACATAATTCTAACTACGAATTTGCGTGTCATTGCGTGATTTGTGTCGAACATGGGCATAAACAATAATTTCATCAACATGGGAACACCACAGCACGGAGTCCCCACTTCATGTGTCTATTTTATCAATATTTGTGGATGGGCCGACGACGAGGCTGATGATTATTGGCCATAAACAATGGGCCAGAACCGTAGCACATAATTGGCATTAAAAAAGCATCAACAACATGCGTGTATTGCCATGTGGCATGCCGAAAAATGCAAAACAGCCGCCAGCCGGTTAATTCTATTATCAATCAAAGGACCCAGGACATGTGAAAGGGTTTGGGTTTTATCGTGGGGTAGTATCTAGTATGTAGTATGAAAATGTTGCCATGCGTGTTCGATTTTTCATTAGCATACGGGATACGGAATACAGGACCCACTGGAAGAGCCACCCTTTCGAAAGGAGAGACATGACAAGACGACAAACGACTCAAATTAATTGCATAAAAATCTTATGGGTGCGGTAAGCCAGCGGTATTGAGGGGTGGCTCTTCTAATTGCCAACTGCTTGGCAGACAAGCGAAGCTCTACATCTACATCATGTACACATGGCCCCTTTCCTTTGGCAAATGAAATTTTTCAGCTTTCTTAAATAAACGTAATTAGCGAAAGTCGCGGGGGAAACACACTCGAATGGATTTTCTCCATCTTACATTCGTCGTCCTGCAGATGAGTAGTCACACATGTGCCAACTGTACCGCAGGATCTACATTCAATATGTACTTTGCAAATGTATTTAAAGGTATAATATATATATAAAAACTTAATTAGCAAACATATATGACAATGAAGTTTGGCAACAGCCAAGTGTATGCAAATGAAAGTCGAAAAATGAAGGGGGCGAAACTGTCATTTCGATTTTTGTATTTCCACACAAAATTTTCAAAAAGCCAAAAGGCGAAAGAAATATTAAAACGATAAATCAACTTTTTGGATTTCCAGCAGCCCACAGACATCAGAAATCATTTTCAACCCTTGAGCAGAACACAAACTTTCTGCAACTCTTCTGTGGTTGATGAGGCTGCAAAAGTTGGGGGTTCTATTCTATGTGTAGCTTCTAACAGCAATCAAACAAACTATAACAAATACTTTGGAGGGGGTCGTGGCAGGGCACTGTGTTGGTTTTGCCTCCTGTATTGACTGTGAAATTATGAAAATTTACATTTTTCCCGGCCCCCACTCACAAAACGACTGAATGCTGGACAAAAGACTGGACAGGAGAGTTGTTACCCAGGATTACTTTTCCTTAGTTTGGGTAATAATTTTGCCCAAAAAAATGATAGAATGGGAATGTGGAACATTAGCAGCGAGCGAAAAGCAAACGATTTGTAATTAACAAAATTGCCAAGCAGCCGAAAAGTGCCCATTCCCCCCCGCAATTCGTTTTACCCTTTTGCATAACAATTGACAAAAGCAGTCAATATATACATATATGGGTGGGTGGGGGTTTTTCAGGAGGCTGGGATCTGAAACAACAATAACAAACACTCGAAGGCAAAAGACGAGAATCGTCGCACAATTGGCAGCAGGAGTTTCGCCTACACAATGAAAAATATTTAAGCTTAAAGTATTAAAAATAATAATAGGGAAACTAAGTATTTACTTATTAATGAAGTTGTAAGAATATGCATTAATTATTTTATTGGAAAACAAACAAATCCTTAAAACATGGAATTAAGAAAAATATAATTAAATTTCAAGAAATTCCAGCAAATGAAATTCGATTTGTAACTGATGATCTCAAAACAATTGTAAGCTCACAATGCAAATCAACAATTATTTTCTCTGTGCAGAAGAAGGAAGCATAAAATGCCAAAAGGAATTAAGGTTATGCCTCAGTCTGTCTCTATACACACATATATATTTATATATATATATAAATATGTATATTCCACATGAGGCAAGGGTTTTCAGCAGGGAGTGGGTGGTGGTGGGGGTGTAAAAAAAGGGTTTAATCAGCGAGCAGCAGCATCTCACACACACAGGGACACCAATCTACAAATACAAATTAACAATAAGCAATCAAAGACACACACACACACACACACACGCACACAAAGCTCTTCAGGGCTTGCTTATAAAATAATTCTCTTCTGTTTTGCGTTTTTTTATTTTTATTTTAGACTTTTAGGCCGTCAGCTGCCAATGGCAAAGGCAAAAACCGTCAAAGGAATTAAAATTCATTCGGGCATAAAAATTTTAAAATATATATATGACTGGCAGAAGCGGGCTGGAGTGATGGATAGAGATAGCGCATATAAAAAAGGGGTAACTTTTGCCAGCAGCAACATCATTCAGGTGGCCGGGGGTGGGGGGTACGGGGGGTTTGGCTGTGGGAGGCTGGCTGGGGGTTGACTCTGTTGTTAATTTCCAAAAAGCCAAAAGACAAATGAGTAAAAGGCAACAGCCGGGGAAGAAGCTTCGTCTCAATGTCGTCAACTGGTTTTTTTTCAGCCGCTTCTTGCTGAATTTTATGTGCTGCACTGAGGAAAATTGTTATATTCTCCAAAAAATATACTTTTACTTAAAGAAAAAAAACCGTGATTTGTATCATTAATTTTGGGAGTTATATGAGCAATAAAAAATTGAGTTAATATGTTTAATTGACTTATTTGCTTGAACGCTATATTTTACTAAAACCAAAAATGGTTTTTACTGATACGAAAAACGTAATTGGCTGCTTAAATCCTTTACAGTGTTCTCAGACTATTTCTCTCAGTGTGCGTCCTTTGCCGTGCAGCTTGTCATTGATTTTTGATTGTTTCAAGTGTTGGCAAAGGAGTAGCTCGCGATGTTTCCAGGGGGGCTGTGGGATGGGGGGCGGTGCGGGGCGGTACGGGGCCTTCGAGTGATAAAAAAGGGGGCATTTTCCGGGGGGGGAAGGGAGCTTTAAAGTCTGCCAAGTGCACCCCAGAGCTTTGACGCCAAGGCTTTTGTTCGTTTGTATCGCTGTGGATGTTGCATTTTTGCAACTGGCAATGCCCAAGTTGGCAATTTGCAACAAAAGATAACAAAGAATATGACGAGCGAGAGCGCAAACAGAAACGAAGCAAAAATAATAAAAGAAAAGATGCGAAAACAGAACAAAAAATAAAAGCGGAGAAAAGCAAACAAAAATATAAAGCAGAAACAAAGACCCCGAAAGAGGTCACATATGGGAAAGTCCCTACAGAAAGTCTCCCCCTTTTTTTTTACCACCCAGCCTCCCTCAACTTTATCCCATCGAAAAATGATTCATCTGGAAGATTTCTGAGTTTATGTTATTTATGAGGGTACTTTCGGTTTTGTCTTCTTGTCCAAGCTTAAATGTTATGGCAAATTCTTAGGTTGCACCTCAAATCCTATTACAGCATTATTGCTTTATTAAGAAATTTAAAGGATGGCCTTACAATAACTAAAATAGAATATCAAAAATTGACACACAATAGTGACATACGGAAATTCGCAAAAATATTTACATGCAAACAAACAGTTCAATTGAATATTTTGATTGCACGCCCTTATTCACTCGCTCAATCGCCTAATTCATTCACTTATTCATTCATTCCCACTGACAGACAATTCATCAACTTAAAGACCTCAAATCGCA